TTTCGGCACTTGGGACTAGAAATGAGAGCAACAGGGAGATGCCATCACAGAGCCATTAGCGTGGCTAACACCTAAAAACACTGGCAGCACCAAATGCTGCCAAGATGAGGAAACAGGACTCTCCTCTACTGTTGGTGGAACTGCAAAACGGTCCCGCCACGTTTGAAGACAGTTTGGCAGACTCACAAAACTAAATATATTCTTACCATATGATCCGGTAATCATGCTCCTTGGGTATTTACTCAAAAGACTGAAAAGTTATGTCCACACAAAAACCTGCACATGGATGTTTATAGCAGCTTTATTCATACTTGCTAAAACTAGGAAGCAGCCAAGATGTCCGTCAGCAGGAGAATAGAAGAAAGAAAAACAACAACTGTGGTACATCCAAACAAATGGAGTATTATTTAGCACTGAAAAGAAATGAGCTGCCAAGCCATGGCATGACATGGAAAAATCTTATGTGTATATGAACTAGGAAAAAGAGCAGATCTGAGAAGAACACATGACTTCAATTTTATACTATTCTGGGAAAGGGAAACCACTGGAATGGTTAAGACAAAGCCGTGGCTTTACAGGGCTTAGCAGAGAGAGGAGGTAAATGAGCTAAGCATAGATCTCCTTAGGGCAATGAAACTACTACAATAATAGGTATACAGGGGTGATGGTGACGTCAATGTCAGACATTTCTGTACATGTGCCACCACGATGGGCAATGTCGCTAGCAGGGGAAGTCACGTTGTGGAGGAACAAAGGGTGTATAGGAACTTTACTTCCTGCTCAGTTTTGCTGTGAATCAAAAACTGCTCCAAAAAAATCTATTAAAATATAAGATATGAGTTCAAGCTAGCCAGAGCTACACAGTGAAACCTTGTCTCAAAAGCCTAAAACAAAACAATGTCCAGTGGTGGTAGTGCACACCTTTAGTTCTAGCACTCGGGAGGCAGAGTCAAGCGGATCTCTGTGAGTTCGAGCCCAGCCTGGTCTACAAAGAGTTTCAGAACAGCTAGGACTGTTACCCAGGGAAACTCTATCTCGAAAAAAAAAACTAACTAAATAAAAACACACAAAAAGATATTCAATAAACTCAATCCCATTAACATCTTTAACTTCCTGTACATATGATGGTAAATTAAGCTGCACACGGGGCGCTTTGTAAGCCTCTACACATTTAGTTAAAATAAGTCTTAAGAGACTGTGAGGACTAGAACATACAACCTGGCTGTATATCTGACCTTAGAGAAACGCCAGGGGCTGTTTCCATCCCTGGGTCAGATGACTAGCTACAGCCAAGGCAGTTTTGCCAAGTCGTGACAAAGGTTCCAAAGTTAGCATGTCCCAGGGGCAGGGACATAGTCTCTGAACCAAGGAGACAAAGTGTCTGCACCGGACAGTCATGGATAGACCACAGCAGCTTATGAGACCCTGGAAGGAGAGCAGAGGGGACAGATCGTAAAGTGCCCAAGTGCAGCCAGCTGCCACTGCCAATGCCGCCGCCCTATACACTGCACAGGACATGCAAGCGGTCACTCGAGGCACGGCAGGAAGGCTGCCACAGAAAATGCGTCACTGGTATTGTTATGCCCAGATCGCGGGGACCCCCAAAGATCGCCATGGAGACTGAATCCTGAATGTAAAAGCAAAGAGCCTTTACTATCTTCAAGCTCTGGGCTTGGTCTCTCTGTCTGTCCGAGGCAGCGGTGAGAGCAGAGAGCCCAGAGCCCAGGCAGGGTGGGTTTTTATCATATTAGAGGTTGGGGTGAGGGGGTTTCCAGGGTTCAGGACCCTGATTGGCTGACATTTGTCTAGGGATATAGGGGATGTTTGGAATGTCAGGTATTTCCTCTTAGATGCAGGCCCCACTGGGTGGGGTCAGCTGATGGCTTTTCCTGGGTCCACATGTTGCCTGCCAGAAGCTGTGTCTGGGCCTCTAAGCCTGTCATGGCAGCTGTGTGGTCAAGATGTTTTGGGGCCTCCCACAGTATGAGGTTAAATAAATGTGGTTGGTGGCACTATGCAAATTCACACTCTTTATGAGGCTCAGTGGGTATTTTGTTTGTTTTTGTTTTTTTAATTGCCAGTCAAACTCTGTGCAACTTTTATGTATGTGCAAACAAAGAGCTATGCAGAGAGAGTCTGTCCTGGTTGGGAGTTCTTGGGATGCTCCTACAGGTGATGTGGAGAGGAACATGTGTAAGTGTGGCAGAGTCTGTCCTGGTTGGGAGTTCTAGGGATGCTCCTACAGGTGATGTGGAGAGGAACATGCATAAGTGTGGCAGCGTGCACTGGATTTTGGTGGTTTGAGTTTAAAAAAGCTAAAAACCCAGCCCCTTCCAGAAGCTCTGCTGAGACCTGGACTTTCCGTGTTGGCTTCTTTCAGGATCTTGAAAGCCATTTCCTCTAAGGAGGCAGGAAGCTCTCTAGCCATTCAGGCAGCTAGAGGGAGTGCTTCCGTCTCCCTAAACTCCACCTGGCTCAGTTTGTTAAGGAATTTCTGAATTGTTACCAAAACCTACATCCATGTAACTCCCAAACCCCTTGGGTCGCCGACACCCACCCCACCACCACCCTCCCACACACCCACCCCATCCCTCCCTCCCACCCTTTCCCCTGGAACCAAGCACTAAAGAAGAGTCTCCTGAGTTCTGGCCCTTGTTGGCTGTGACCTTCAGCAGGTTCCTGAACACCTCTGTGTCTCAGCATGGCTACAGAGATGTAATAATGGCTGCAGCGCTCTACTGTGTCAGCCCTCTGCTCTGCTTGTGATGAACAGTGCCACTAATCAGACTGTCTGATACTTAGCTGTTCAGTGACTATGGAGTAGGGTTACTGTATTGGGCTTGGAAGGAAGAGAGACATTTCTAGGTACCCTGAAATGTGTGGGACTGAAGACTTAGGGCTACATACATAGTTACCCCACGCTTCATCTGGCCCTGTTAATCCAAAAGATGGGAGGAAAAAGACCACCGGCCCAAATCATCCAAATTAATTAAAGCAAGCTTTTTTATTCGTGTACAGGGACTGCCTTCCCCTAAGGTGGGGCTCAAGAAATCAGCATTGGATGTGAGGAAGACAAGGTTTTTATAGCTCAGGAGCAGGGGTTTTCCAAATGGGGGATTTGACGGGCAAAATAGGCAGACTTACAGGAGCAGAATGTAACAAGTTAGTCCCTCCTGGAACAAAGACACGGTTGCAAGGTGGGCAAAACAAGGTGGTCGTCAGTGGCCATGACACCTTTTGAAACAAAGGTAGGCTTGTAAGATGGTTATGTGCAACTTTTTGAAGCAAAGACATGATTACCATTCCTGAAACCGAGTACAGAACCATCTGTAGTTAAGGTTACCGGTGGGGCACAGTCCAGTCCTTGAGAAACAGGTTTAATCATAAACAGGAACGAACGTAGTTTGTCTTCACTGTAAGTTGGCTTTTAAGCCTAAGATGGAGGCAGGTTGGTTCTTTTTTTGCTTTTTGAGTGTGTCTTTCATACTCACAGGTCCCCTTTCCCTCCCTCCCTCCTGCATTCCTTTCTTCTTTCCTGTCCCCGGTTTGTGGGTTTGTGTTTTGTTTGTTTTGTTTTGTTGGAGACAGTGTCTCCTGTAGCCCAAGCTGGCTGCCAACTGAGGGTAACTGAGAACCACCTTAAACTTCTGATCCCCCTGCCTCCACCTCCTCCAGAGTACTGGGATTACAGGTGTGTGCCACAGCCAACTTTTCTTTAGCACCGGCTTGCCATTGCGTCGTTCCATCTTGACCTCCGACCTCCAGCAGGTAGGACTCTGGCTCTGTCCCCAGAATGCACACGTGCTCTTCATCTCAGCAATCCAGTTTTTGGGAATTGCATAAAAACAGAAAAGCTTTTTTGGTTTTTTTACTTTACACATTGCCAAGCCCTGACAACACACGTGAGGGGTGTGTGAGGCAGCAGAATACCCCACACCTGCCACGGGGAAAGCCCTGCTTTCAGCAGCAGGTCTCACCTGGGGTCGCCCTGGGAAACAAGAGTCTGGAATCGAGCCTCAAAGCCAGGCTTCATGGAGACAATGCTCACCCAGGAGATGCTGAGAGGTTGCTTAGGAGACAAGGCAGCTCTAACAACCGAGTTAGAACAGTAAATAAAATTGCCATCTGTTGAGTTCTTTTTTTTTTTTTTTTTTTTTTTTTTTTTTTTTTTTTTTTTTTTTTTTTTGGTTTTTCGAGACAGGGTTTCTCTGTGTAGTTTTGCGCCTTTCCTGGAACTCACTTTGTAGACCAGGCTGGCCTCGAACTCACGGAGATCCGCCTGCCTCTGCCTCCCGAGTGCTGGGATTAAAGGCGTGCGCCACCACCGCCCGGCTGTTGAGTTCTTAATATGGGCCAGGCACCATGCCAAGCATTTTACAAGTGTTAGCTATCTCCTTTTTAAACCTGCTTAAATTGTGGAATAAAATACTCCTGGATTAAAGTGTTCAAAACAAATGCATGGTATAACGAACAGTCACAGGGCAAACGTGTGTAATTACCCCCAGGGTCAAGACAGAACATCCCAAGCACTGGAGAATGGCCCGCTGAGGGAGGGTCCCTGTGGGCCCCACCCTCTCCTCTCTGAGAAGCCCTGCTGTGATTTCATGTCAATTTTTTCTTCTTTTGGTTTTTCGAGACAAGGTTTCTCTGTATAGCCTTGGCTGTCCTGGAACTCTGTAGACTCGGCTGGCCTTGAACTCACAGAGATCCATCTACCTCTGCCTCCCAAATGCTGGAATTAAAGGTGTGTGCCACTGGCCACTGGTGCACCAGCATCAATCCCTTCTTGCCTTTGGACTTTTCTCAAATATGTGATGGAAAATAAAAGCTACATCATTTGTAGCTTAGTTTTGTGCCTAGAAGCTGTGTCTTCTTGGGGGTTGCTGGGGATTGAACCCAGCGTCCTGCACATTCCAGGCAAGCACTCTACAACTGAGCTACATGGTTTTTTTTTTTTTTTTTTTTTTTTTTTTTTTTTTTTTTTTTTTTTTTTTTTTTTTTGGTTTTTCGAGACAGGGTTTCTCTGTGTAGCTTTGCGCCTTTTCCTGGAACTCACTTGGTAGCCCAGGCTGGCCTCGAACTCACAGAGATCCGCCTGGCTCTGCCTCCCGAGTGCTGGGATTAAAGGCGTGCGCCACCACCGCCTGGCTGAGCTACATGGTTTTGTTCTCACTGCACAGTGCTATGTAGCACTCCATGGGGTGCGTGCTGTATCGCGACATATTTATTTGTCCTATGGTTAATAGATATTTATCTTGATTCCGCTTGAGGCCACCACCCTCAGTAAAGTCAGAGGCAGGCCATTTATTTAGTCATACGTGAGAAGTTCCCCTTAGACACTCAGTCCAAACAATGTGGAATGTGCATTTTTCGGTGTTATTAGATGATGCCAAGATGCTTGCCAGTGGTCTAACAGACCTCCATTCCATCAGCAGCACCTCACTCTCCATTGTGGACCCCCCGCATTGGGATCATCAGATCTTGCAAAGCTGATGGACATGGGTCTATATTTAGCTATTGCTTCAATTTCTGGCTGCTGAATTAATTTTAAATACTCTTAAGTTAATAAGTTATTGATATGAGTTACCTTTCATGTTCATCCCTATTTTTGCCTCTTTTGTTAGGTGTTGTACAGGTGGTACAGGTGAACTGCTCTGTATTTTCCTCCACTGATGAGTCTGTGTTAACGCCTCTTCCGCCATACGGTCGGGTTTTCTGCCTGTTTCTTTTGCGGTTTGGCCTTTTACTTTCTGCTTGGTAAGAGGTTCTTCTCGGTTTTCATTCTGGACATCCATTCTCCAGTGGTTTTGTATTTCAGATAGTCTCTTCCATTTTCATGCAACTCCTTAATTCTCACAATGGTTCCAAGAAGTAAATATCACCAATGTGGTAGTGCCTAAGGTAGAGAACAACCTTAGCGAGGACAGGTCACCTCTAAGCAGCGTCCGAGTGGGAACACACCCAGGTCTGCTCAGACAGAGCTGAGTGCCTTCCTCTCTGCTACACTCAGGAGTGAGGCCACCTTCCCAGTGCACCCAGACCCTCAGACCCTCATCCTCTACCTCCTTTCTGTACCTTTGGTTTTCTCTCAACTTCATTTTCCTGCCTACTTCTGGACCAGCATCCTATGACCCGCAGCTTCAAATGTCACCCTCTTAAGTTCTCCCAGCTCCACAAAGGAGTTTTGTGGAGCATGTCCCTTCACAAGCAGGCTTGCAGGTCACACCACACCACGGCTCAGATGCTCTTCTGTGTGATCAGCTGCAGCTGGGGAGCAGTCCCTTGGCCAGAGTCCTTTGGATGCTGCTGTAGGCACCAGGGCTGAGCACTGGTCTCAAAGCAGGTCCACTCCCAGAGCTCTGCCTTTTCCCAGAACCTTCCCAACTCTGCTGACCTGTCCTCATTGTCACAAGGGCAGCTCCTCTCTGCCTCGCTTACTTCCTGCCAAGTCCACTCAAGCCTTCAGGCAGCCTAGATAACTCTACAGTGTCCCCACTTCTCCCTGTGATTGGCCTTGTCTCTCTCTTGGAATTCCCAAGATCACTGCCTGAGCTGACACTGAATCCATCTTCCCTTCTTCCTGGTCCAGAGGGTCAGTTAGAAAGGCCAGCCCGCTGGGTCAGATTTCATGTATCCTTCACCGTCTTCTCCCTTTTCCAGGAATGAAACTCCACACATGCCAGGAGCTGTAACCCTCCCCCTCCTTCCTGCCATGCTCTTCCTCAGTCCTGCTGCCATGTGGGCTCTTTCCCATAGGCCTTTGCACACACTGCCGGCATTTCCTGGAAGGCCCTAGCCACCCTCACCAGAGCCCAGCAGTTCTAGCCCCCAATTAGAGCCAAGCTTTTCAACTTTCCAGTCACAATCCCTGTCTTTCCAGGACATTTGTACACAACTCAGAGTATATAGGTCTGTAAAATCAGTATATAAGCCAAACATTGTGGATAATAAATCATAAAGAAATTTATTTTAAGGCAATTCTTTGGTATACACATAATTTTGCTATTTATTAATGACAAAAAATTTACGTATTAATTCAGCACTATGTTTGCTTATTTTTACACAAATGAATCAAATCTTAACTGAATATTTGATATTGTGAGACCTATAGAATCTCTAACATCTTTCAGGATTGGTCAATATTTTGATTTTGTAACTGTCAATACTGAGAATGCTGCTTCTCAAACATACATAGCACAAAATGTTAGGAGTGTGATTGAGGCCTTTTGAGAATTATGAGAGATTCTGTCCTAATCCCATATCAGAATTCACTGATTTCTATGAAACTCTAATCAGCAACTCAAACAGCAATTCTTAAAATCGAACTTTCTAACACAAAATGGTTAAAGACATGGTACTTCATACCATGATGACGGCACAAGAATATTCTTGGTTTTCCACAATTCAATCCCGGTGTGTCTATGAGAGCAGAAAACTTTGTGTAAACATTGAAACACTTTCATTTACAGCAATCGTAGCTCAAATCTGAGCCGAGCTGTTCCCATCAGGAACCATGAGAATCGTGTGACGTCACACAGTGTAAAGTGTGGCGTCACGTTCAGAACGAGGATGCATGAGGGCACGTGATGCAGCACCTGTGGGTGCCGCCAGAAGCACCTTGTCGTGTGGTGGAATTATGTTTTGGTTGTTGTGCATTCATCGACCTTTTACTGTGGCCAAAGTAAATTTAGTCACATGACCCCATATGGATCACAGCATACACTTTACGAGGGCTTGGACTAGTTCACAGGAGGCTGAGGTTAAAAATGATTCACTTAAACAACAAGCTATCATTCTCATCAGACAGGACAGAGAACCATTACTGATGTGTAGCTGAGGCTCATCTCAGACCTTACTCAGCTACTGTGTTTATTAAACTAAACTCTTTTTAACTCACATCTCACATCTATGAATTTGCCCTTTAAATGCACCCATAGGCTACATAAAGACACGTAGAGTAATTTTCTTTGCATGTTGTTTATAATACAGACAAATGAAAGTAATATCCAGATCTACCAAGAAGACTATAACTACACTGCAGTGCATTCATAGCATGGAATATTACTCAGCCGTTAAAAAGAAATGCACGTTTGTGTAAGGAGGATATTCAGGATACATTAAAAATAAATTCAGAAGACTATGATTTGATATTCTAGCTACACTTTTAAAAACGGAAGAAACAAACAAACCTGTTGACAGTGGCTTCTCTGGAGAGGTAGTTAGTGGAACAGTTTTCCATACTACGCCACATACTTTTCTTTTTCTTTTTTGGTTTTTTGAGACAGGGTTTCTCTGTGCTGTCCTGGAACTCTCTCTGGAGACCAGGCTGGCCTCAAACTTAGAGCTCCGTCTGCCTCTGCCTCCCGAGTGCTGGGATTAAAGCCATGGGCCACCACTGCCCAGCTGCTATGTCTCTATAATGATTTTTTTTGCTGTTTTATTACTGAAAATAATTTTATAATCTAAAACTTTTAATAAGTGAAAAATAATAATTACACAGCACACCTGCTGTGCCCTCTTAAGGAAGTTCTGTGAGGTCAGCGCCGTCTACAGCCTATTCACTGCTATTTCCCCAGAGCCTACTTGGTGTTGGGAACTTGATAGGTGCTCATTAAACATTTATTAATTGAATGAATAAGCGAATAAACTATCTGTTTCTATGATCCTATAAACTGCTACCCAGTCACAGCTCTGGAAGCGGCGCATTGGCCACCTCTTCTTGAGATGAACCCCGTTCTTGAGAGCAGTTGCTGGCTCAGGTCACCCGTGCTGGCAGCTTTGTGGTATCACACCTGCTGCTGACGCTGAGCTCTAGGGCCTTTGCACAATTATTGCACTCAATGTGGGTTCCTTTTCTGACTTAGGAAATAATTTCGTTCAAGGTCGCCAGCGTAGTTTAAAGCCCAAGCCGTGACTCTAGCTGAATTCCAAACACTCAGGGTTTGGATCTCAGGACAGCCCATCTGGAAGGCTCCTCCCCCTCTTCTCTCTCTCAAGTCCACCTCACTCTCCCACCCCTTGAAGCGTTATTAGAACAAAGGGCACATGTTAGCACTTCCTGTGGTGGTTTGAGAGAATGGCTCCCTTAGACTCAGAGACTTGCAGGGTTAGTCACCACGGAGTAGAAGTTTCGAGAGAATTAGAAGAATCAGGAGGCCTTGTTGGATGGAGTGTGTCACTGGGGTGGGCTTTGAGGTTTCAAAAGTGCACACCAGGCCCAGGCTTGTGCGTGCTGGCTTTCCCCCCTCTCTCTCTCTCTCTCTCTTTCTCTCTCTCTCTCTCTCTCTCTCTCTCTCTCTCTCTCTCTCTCTCTCTCGGTCTCTCCTTCTGTCTCCCTGTCTCTGTCTCTGTCTCTCTGTCTCTCTGTCTCTCTGTCTCTGTCTCTGTCTCTCTCTCTCTCTCTCTCTCTCTCTCGGTCTCTCCTTCTGTCTCCCTGTCTCTGTCTCTCTCCCTTTCTCTTAGCCCGTGGGCCAGGATGTAGCTCAGCTCCTGCTGTGCATGCCACCATGCTCCCTAGCACGATGGTAATGGACCGAACCTCTGATACCGTAAGCAAGCTTCAGTTAAATGTTTTCCTTTTTAAGAGTTTGCTTGGTCACGGTGTCTCTTCACAGCAATGGAAGAGTGACTAAGACACTCTAGTATTACCCGCTCTCCACTCCCATCCCAGTGTTCTCAGGGCTTCTGCCTTCCTTGTTCACAGCTCCTGGCTGTTCTGTCACTCCGTATATATTTCCCAGGGGGACAAATGTGGCTCTATTTACCTGAGTTGTCTTTAGACTCAGGCTTCCACTTCACTTACAAGGCTGGCCCTGGGGTTACTGTAACAAATGACCATGAACCTGGAGGCACAAAGAAAGGCATCGGCTTATATTCTCTAACAGTTCTGGAGTCAGAAGGCCAACATTTTTTTTTAAACTGGGCAAAATCAAGGCCACACTGCCACCGCAGGTCTAGAAGCAAACCTGGCCACAGCTCTGCAGCTTTTGCCATTTGTTAGAGCTCCTGTGCTGTGGCTACCTCCCAGCACCAGCAACTTCAGGTGTTTCTGTGTGTCATTTTTACATCACCCTTGTCCTGTGCATGTGCCGTTATAAAATCCACCTGGGCCTCTCTCTTCCACTGGGTACACAGGATCCCATTTAGTGCCTAAGGAGCTAACCCAGGAGAACATTAGCTGAATCACCCTGCAAAGACTTCGTTGTGTAATGTAACATTCAATGTTCATAGGGCTAATTGACTGCACCTGATGTCTTCAGGCCACCAGAGATGCCACTGCTAGCTCTGGAAATCCCTTTGCAGGATGAAGACATGTGTTTTGAACTTCTGTGTGCCTCTCTCTGGCAGGGCCAGTCTCATAGAAGAGACTGAGTGTGCGGAGCAGGGGCTGCTGTCTGCCTTTCCCCTAGCTCCAACCTCAAAAAGAAAAACATTCAGGGCTCCTGTTCCCTCTATGTAGCTGGCTACCCACGGCCTCACCCTTCAGAAACCATAGGAAGTTTCATACTAGAGGCAGCCACATGCGGCCAGCACCTCCCGTGGGCTCTGATGAGTGGCAGGAGCAAGAAGGCTTACAGGGTCATCCCCCTGCTGCAGAGCATGCAGTCCGATCTTGCTGTCTGGGAGTCTAAGCAGGCTGGGCTGCAGCCTGGTCACTCCTTTCTCTTCCATGATTCCAAATAGGAAGATGGGGAGAGAGATGCTGAAATTAGCCTTTTCTCCCAAACAATACCCTTCAGGAGAGAGGGTCCGTGCAGGAGAGAGGGTCAGTGCAGAAGAGAGAGAGGGTCAGTGCAGGAGAGAGAGAGGGGCCATGCAGGAGAGAGAGTCAATGCAGGAGAGAGGGTCAGTGCAGGGGAGAGAGAGAGGGTCCGTGCAGGAGAGGGAGAGGGTCCGTGCAGGAGAGAGAGAGAGGGTCCGTGCAGGAGAGAGAGAGGGTCCGTGCAGGAGAGAGAGAGAGGGTCCGTGCAGGAGAGAGGGTCAGTGCAGGGGAGAGAGAGAGGGTCCGTGCAGGAGAGAGAGAGAGGGTCCGTGCAGGAGAGAGAGAGGGTCCGTGCAGGAGAGAGAGAGAGAGAGAGGGCCAGTGCAGGAGAGAGGGTCAGTGTAGGAGAGAGGGCACAGGGCACAGAAAGCCCTTCCATCACCTGCTGACTGCACAGTTGCTTCTGGACCTGGCTCCCTGCTGATAGGAACATGCAAGTCCTCTAGGCCACTTTCCTTGTCTCTATAATCTCTCATCCAGCAGCACCGAGAGGATCCTGGTCTCTGGTCCTAGGCCTGGGTTCCCTGAGGTCGATAGGGGTGCTTTTCACCCCAGCCTGGGGTCTCTGCCCCACAACAGCTGGGAGCACTCTGAAAGCTGAGGACAGAGGCAGGTAGCCCAGAGCTGGATTGCCTTGGTTTCATATCCACTCCTCCCCATGCAGGAAGAAGGGGCTGATAGAATGGGATGGTGTCTTTGGCTGGCCAGCAGATTGTCACAGGATTTGTAGGTGGGAAGGAGTCTCCTTTCTTCTTGTGCCTAGGGGAGGCCCAAGGAGTGAGTGGGACGCAAAGAAGGGTCTTATTAGAGGCCCATGCATGGTTCCCCAGAGTCCATATGCAAGTTTGATTCTAACAGAACTGACTGGAACTGGTTATGCATATGCCCCACCTATCCATTTCTGTGGTGCAGAAATTGCCATGAGACCCAGAGATACTATGTCACTTGGGGAGCTACAGTAAGCTGAGGCTATTTGTGACTTGGGTTATTGCTGCGGGTCCTTTTGAGAGCATATCAAAGCCTCTATAAAGCTCATCAATGCACAACATGATTCACTCTGCATAAAACTCACACAAGTTCCGGGCAGTGGTAGTGCATGACTTTAATCCCAGCACTCGGGACACAGAGGCAGGCAGATCTCTGTGAGTTCCAGGAAAGGCTCCAAAGCTACACAAAGAAACCCTGTCTTGAAAAAAACCAAAAAAACAAAAAAGCCAAAAACCAAAAACCAAAAAACCCCACACAAGCTAGTCCTTTCAGCAGCTCGCATGCTGGCCCTCTCTAAGGGAGGCACACAGCTTTTTGGTAGAGGAAAAGAATGTATACAACCCATTCTTACTTGCAGTGACTTCTCTGTGTGCTTGCAAAGTGACTAAATGCTTTCAGAGGGAGTTATTGACCCACTGAACTAGGAACAAAAACTAAGCCTCACCCGGCCATGATGCTTGGGCTCTGATATTTGAGAATGGAGCTCTAGGGTTTGAACACATCAGGCAAGATGCTGACAATTCCACAGGTTACTTTTGTTAAAAATGTGGTCCTCTAAAAAAGTATTTAAGTAGGTTGGGTGGTGGTGGCACACACCTTTAATCCCAGCACAAGTTTGAGACCTGCCTGGTCTATAGAGCAAGTTCCAGGACAGCTAGACTAAACAGAGAAACCCTGTCTTGAATCCCCTCCCCCATAACATATATAATTAGCTAGACTTATTGGCGCTCATCTGTAATCCCAGCCCTTGGGAGGCTGAGGCAGGAGGATTACAGTTTCAAGCCCTGTCTTACACAGTGCAAGGTCAGCCTGGGCAGTGAGACCCAGCAAACACACAGAAGCTGGAGCTGTGGCTCAGCGGCAGAGAGTTTGCTCAGAATGTGTGTGGCCCCTGGGTTCAGTCCCCAGTTCTACAAAACAAAAACAAGAAATTAAGATTGATATAGCCCAGATCACGGGAAAACAGGAATCCTGACACATTCAGAAAAGTTCATCAATTTCAAAAATTTAAACGCATATTCCCTTGACATGGTGATTTCATTTGCAGAAAAGCCTATTTAAAAACAACCAGAGAGAGGGCCAACGGTAGCTCATACCTGCAATCCCACCAAGAGGATTTCTACACATTCAAGGCCAACCAGGGGTCACTTAGTGAATTCCAGGCCGTCTTGAGCTGTAGATTAAGACCACCTCAAAAGAAAATAAATGAATTGAATAATCAGGGATACTAAAAAAGATTAGCTACATAAAACATTCATTATAACTGTTAACACATTTTAAAATTCAAACCTAAACACTCATAATTGGGGATTAAAGATGTTATAGTTCAACAATAAACACGCACTGGAATGCTGTGCTGTGATTGTTTAAAAAGCCATTTATTAGCCTATATTAACTAGGATGGTATATAGATTTAAATACATGAATTATATAGTATGTTTATATCTATGTTCATATATGTAGCTATGGATTGCCACAATAAGTAAAGTGTCTTGGTTTGCAGAATGGGGATCTAAATGTCTATAAACATGATCAACAGGTATATGGTAGAGAGATACTGTGTGGATAGCAATCCATTACCAACACATCAAAAGTCTAACATTTATTTCTAGGTTGATGATCATCCACATGTATGCCTTTTCTTCCTTTGGAATTTTTTTTTCTTTTTCCTTTTTTTTTTTTTTTTTTTTTTTTGCAATAATTGCTCGCCATGCCAGAGGGAAGATCCAACCACCTCAGAAAGGTAGGAAGTAACTCTGGAAAACGCTCTTTAGCCAGGACATCCCTGTTGGCCAACGACCTCTACAGAATAAACAAAACAGTTGAAGGACATCACTCAGAACTGGGGTTGCCATACTCTCCGAGCTAAAATGCTAGATGTGCAAGTTGATTTTGCTGTTGGTTTGATCAGCATAGGCCTCTCTGAGACTCTTGGTCACCTACCCTGAGTGAATGTTGCCTTCTGTCTGTCTAGGAATACCTGAGGACAGGCGCTTCCATGGGGCCACCAAGCTGTAAGGCTTCAGCCACTCCAGTGGCTGTAACCGAGTGTCACAGTCTTGAGAAAGCATCATTCTCACCTTGGACTTCTTCTTCTTAAGACTTCTTCTTGAAAGACGTGTTATTTGTTCTGAGACAGGGTCTCGTGCATCCCAGGCTGACCTGAACTCCTGTGTGGTTGAGGATGACCTTGAACTTCCGGTGTCCCCACATCCGGTCCATCCAGTGCTGGGTTCCAGCGCACGGCCTTCTGTATGCAAGAGAGGCACTCGGCGGACGGAGCCTCATTTGAGCCCTTTGAAGGTGGTGTTGCTCAGGGAATTGCGCCAACTGAGAACACTGTGTTCCTACCCACATCACATCACTTCACAGAGCGACTGCAGTGAGACTCCGTGGAATGCTCTCACTCCCGTCTGGGCCCCCCAGGGCCTGCCTGCTGTCCACTAAGGGCCAGGTTTGGGGGACCTACTGTCTCTGGGTCTCCAGCTCTTTGCTAAGGTGGCCACTGCCCCCATCTGCAGTGCTGGGCTACCATGTCACCATCTATTTATACCAGTCAGGCACGTCCCGCTCAGCTCAGGTTTCTTCTCCCCAGCCTTGGCTGCCCAGGGTGGCCACTGTCCCACTCAACCCCCTGGGTCATTTATCTTCTGTCTGTCAGGCAAGGTGAGCTTAGCCAACTTCTCTGATTCTAGAAAATGAGGTTGCTATTCCCTGAGATACCACAGGCCGATCTAACCGGGGTAGTCTCTGACATGACATTAAATGAGACAATTCCTTCAGCAGATCAGTGACCGAATGCCAGAATACTTACTTAGGAAAAAATATGGATTGCTGCCTTTTTCTTGTTTGAAAAGAAGGTCTTGCTACATAGCTCAGGATGGCCTTGATTTCGTGATCCTTTTGAAATTTCAGGCAAGCCTCATCATGCTGTAAGTAAGGCCTTCTTAACAGAAGCAATCATTATGGTCTTTCACCAAAGGCCCTGGGCTGAGTCACACTAAAGGCAGCGGACAAAGTGAGAGCTGAACAGTAGCGGGGGCTTGTGGAGAGGGGGATGCACTGGGACCAGGGACAGAATAGGGCAGGCTGCACCAAGCTCCCGGTGTCATCGTGCTCACCTCACGGTGACATTTTACTCATAATTTGATTTTTCCTGGATACAAAGGGACATGGAACCCATCAGCTGACTGATTCCCCAACACCCCCCTCTCAGGAGAGTCCAGTCCGTGCCAAGTGTGGACTCCATCACCGGCGGAGCAATGCAGACTGTTCAATCAATCCTGGGTCAGTCTGGAACTGAAAACACACATGCTGACCCTCCCTCCCACTGTTGAATTTATTTTTTTAATTTTTATTTATTTATTTAAATTTTTTTATTTTTTTGGTTTTTCAAGACAGGGTTTCTCTGTGTAGCTTTGCGCCTTTCCTGGAACTCACTTGGTAGTCCAGACTGGCCTCGAACTCACAGAGATCCGCCTGCCTCTGCCTCCCGAGTGCTGGGATTAAAGGCGTGCACCACCACCGCCCGGCTCACTGTTGAATTTATTAAGCTGATGTACCCCGGTCACTGTCTCCTCCTAGCCCTACACTAGCGTAGGGCGAAATCAACCAGCATAAGAACCAAAGACATCATATGCCATGACCCAAGGCACTGTATCTCTCGTTCATGAGAGAGCTCTTGGGAAATCGATGCCTCCAAGGCTTTCCTAGGCACCGTTCTGTGGTGGTGGTCACGGGGGTTGGTGGTCACAGGGTGGTGGTGGTCACAGGGTGGTGGTCACAGGGAGGGGGTGGTCACAGGGGGTGGTGGTCACAGGGAGGTGGTGGTCACAGGGGGTGGTGGTCACGGGTGGTGGTGGCACAGGGGGGTGGTGGTCACAGGGGGTGGTGGTCACAGGGGGTGGTGGTCACAGGGTGGTGGTGGTCACAGGGGGTGGTGGTCACAGGGGGTGGTGGTCACAGGGGGGTGGTGGTCACAGGGGGTTGGTGGTCACAGGGTGGTGGTGGTCACAGGGTGGTGGTGGTCACAGGGGGTGGTGGTCACAGGGGGGTGGTGGTCACAGGGGGTGGTGGTCACAGGGGGTGGTGGTCACAGGGGGGTGGTGGTCACAGGGGGTTGGTGGTCACAGGGTGGTGGTGGTCACAGGGTGGTGGTGGTCACAGGGGGTGGTGGTCACAGGGGGGTGGTGGTCACAGGGGGTGGTGGTCACAGGGGGGTGGTGGTCACGGGGGGTGGTGGTCACAGGGAGGGGGTGGCACAGGGGGTGGTGGTCACAGGGTGGTGGTGGTCACGGGGGGTGGTGGTCACAGGGAGGGGGTGGCACAGGGGGTGGTGGTCACAGGGTGGTGGTGGTCACAGGTGGTGGTGGTCACAGGGGGGTGGTGGTCACAGGGGGTTGGTGGTCACAGGGTGGTGGTGGTCACAGGGTGGTGGTGGTCACAGGGGGTGGTGGTCACAGGGGGGTGGTGGTCACAGGGTGGTGGTGGTCACAGGGGGTGGTGGTCACAGGGGGTGGTGGTCACAGGGGGGTGGTGGTCACAGGGGGTGGTGGTCATGGGTGGTGGTCACAGGGGGTGGTGGTCACAGGGGGTGGTGGTCACAGGGAGGGGGTGGTCACAGGGGGTGGTGGTCACAGGGTGTGGTGGTCACAGGGTGTGGTGGTCACAGGGGGTGGTGGTCACAGGGGTGGTGGTGGTCACAGGGTGGTGGTGGCACAGGGGGTGGTGGTCACAGGGGGTGGTGGTCACAGGGTGGTGGTGGTCACAGGGGGTGGTGGTCACGGGTGGTGGTCACAGGGTGTGGTGGTCACAGGGGGTGGTGGTCACAGGGAGGTGGTGGTCACAGGGGGTGGTGGTCACAGGGGGTGGTGGTCACAGGGGGTGGTGGTCACAGGGTGGTGGTCACAGGGGGGTGATGGTCACAGGGGGTGGTGGTCACAGGGGTGGTGGTGGTCACAGGGGGTGGTGGTCACAGGGTGGTGGTCACAGGGGGGTGATGGTCACAGGGGGTGGTGGTCACAGGGGGTGGTGGTCACAGGGGGTGGTGGTCACAGGGGGTGGTGGTCACAGGGGGTGGTGGTCACAGGGGGTGGTGGTCACGGGTGGTGGTCACGGGGGTTGGTGTTCACAGGGGGTGGTGGTCACAGGGGGTGGTGGTCACAGGGGGGTGGTGGTCACAGGGTGGTGGTGGTCACAGGGGGGTGGTGGTCACAGGGAGGGGGTGGTCACAGGGGGGTGGTGGTCACAGGGGGGTGGTGGTCACAGGGGGGTGATGGTCACAGGGGGTGGTGGTCACAGGGGGGTGATGGTCACAGGGGGTGGTGGTCACAGGGAGGGGGTGGTCACAGGGGGTGGTGGTCACAGGGGGGTGGTGGTCACAGGGGGGTGGTGGTCACAGGGGGTGGTGGCACAGGGGGTGGTGGTCACAGGGGGTGGTGGTCAGTGGAGCTGGTAACTGACACACAGTCATCTTTCCTTCTGCTGGCCCATCTAGTCCATTGTAAGCCTCAGGAACACCTTCCATCTGGTAGAAGACAATCTGCACACTCCTGATGTCACCCCGCCACCATCTGCCAGGCAGGTTGTCATAAGAAATCTACGATGCCTGTCATGTGAATAGTGAGAAGAGGGACAGCTGTGCAGAGCACTACAGCAGCATTGGGCAGGTGGTTGGCAACTAGGAGGTTGGGGAAAACAGTAGGAAGGAGTGTCCCTTGTAGACTCAATCTCATCATCCATGAATTGGAGATAAGGGCTGCCTGCAGTGTTGTGCCCAAGCACCGGGCAGCCCTCCATTTGGAAAGCAATGGCCTAGCATGATGCCATACTTACATAGCCATGTTCCCTTTAATTCCACAGGTACCTCCAACCCACGGCACTATTTGGCTCTTCAAATGATGTCCGTGAGAAGGGTTTGGGTCTCCCTCGTAATGGTGGGGTGTGATCGAAGACGCTCACAGTGGTACTGCCATGGCTGAAGTTAGGCATGCACTGTCTGAAGAGAAGGGAAGCCCGACACTGGCTGCCAACACCAGGCTCTCCCCACCTCATGAGCGAAAGGTGTCAGGAGGTGCTGACTGCCGAGCAGCATCTGCCCCCGCACCCTGGCAGAGCCCCTTCGCACCGTGACACCGATGTCTCTGCAGAGAACACTGGGAGCTCCCACCCTTCCCAAGTGTCAGCTCGAG